CAACCTACGCATGAGTTGTTCACATTTGGCGTGTTTAGACGATCGAACGTTTGTATCACTAGAAAAATGTAGGCATCATCCTACGATGAAGATCGAAGAAGAGGGATGCGTTAAATCGTTCCTTGTATATTTGTGTGTCTACAACTTCATGGAATGAATATATGTAAATCAAAAGTAAAATTGAAATCAAAAGGAAAATTTTTATCAAAATTAGATTTAATTTTTTTTATAATAATTAAATTAAAACGTTATAGAATTATAATAGAAATCTTTGTAATTAAAAGTGTAAAAAAAGATTGAAATACAATAACGATTTGATTACTTTTAAATTACTTACGAAATTATTAACAAAGAATAGAAACTGAATTAGGTTTTTTTATCATGTAAATTTATTATTCAATTTTAGCAAATAAAATTAGACTATTTTGTGTTTAATTATTTTATATTTAATTATGCAATTTTTAATATAAATATTCAATATCATATAATTACCTTCGAATCACACATTCATAATTTTCTGAATATATAATTTTATTTTCCTAAAGAGACAGTAGATAGCCGTTAGAGGAGAGAAAATGAACACCAGTAGACATTCACACCTGGATAAGATAAATTTTATCTTCGACCTACCTGAGTCGTTGACTCTTGGCGATACAAATATTTCGTTGTTATCGGCCATGTAACCCGAGATATAACAATGTGATGACACCACAAAAACATTATTGTGTCGCCTCAATATAAAATCATGATCATTGTTCATGTAATAAACTACGGCGTATTTATATACTTTTTCGTACATGAAATAATAGACTACATTCAAGGGACTATATATGGGACATTTTGCATATGACAAAAGTATTTGATATATAATTTTTGAGAGTAAAGCTATTTCAGGAGAGTTTTTCTTTTCTGGCTACAGGTTCGAAGACTTAATTTGTGTACAAGCATCTATATTAATTCACGCGACATTAAAACGTTCAATTCACGCGCAAGAACGGTTCCGTTAACGAAGCGCGTAAAAATGTGTGGGGCGTGTAATAGCGAAGTATCGTAAACCGATAAAGTGCGGTAATAAAAGCGAATGGTATAACATATATAGTGACTTGAAGCACCCCTCTTGAAAGATTTTATCTGGATGCAAAGCTTATATCCTAAAATAATTCATTCTGAAAAATTTACAAATACATTTCATTCTTTATTATGTTATTATTCTGAAATATTAAAAATTTTTGTTATTGTTCATTTTCTTATATATTGGTGCTTTATTGTATATATAACTAATAAATAAAAAAAAGAAAAAATAATTTCTATTGAATTTTTTATTTTAATGAATGAATCATAATAATGTTTAATCTGTTTTAGGAAGAATTGTTAATAATCAACCGTATAATATATTGCAATCGTGAAACGAAAATTAAAATGGGTTGTGCTTTCTTTTATACCGGAAACAGTAGTAGGGAAGGCAGATAATTCGTAAATGCACAAAGCACAGACGAAAGTTATCAGCAACGAGGACGATACATACAGTGATATCTGCAATATTCATGCAGAGTATTTCAGTGCGTTTCCCTTTTGTTCGTCGTATAGAGAAACGGATTATAGCCCGAGGAGAAAATTTTCGAAATGTAACAAATATTCGATTATTGCTTAATATATTGCGTAATAATGCATTCTTGTATTTGATTATTGCCTATTATTTGCAGTGTCTCATATTTATTTCAGATTTGCTTTATCTTTCAATATATTTTCCAAGTATAACTAGTATTTTTAATATAAAATCTTTTTTCTTTAGAACATTTATGATAACTAAAAGATTGTGAAACTTTGCTTATCACATTTATGTACGTACGTTATAATTAAATAAATGTAATATTGAATAGTTTGAATTTATAATCGAATCTTAAAAAATAAAGAAAGAAAATAGAGATTATTGCAAATATTCTTATATTTTATAATAACAAACAACAGTTTATTTCTGTCTGACAATGGCTCTTTCTAATGGGAAATGTACGCCTATGGTGGTCCATGCGCCTAAAATCGATTCAGAGAGACACAGACAGGGCATGGACCTCCCAATTCTATGGTAGCTTCACGATAACTTTTCCATGTATATCTGCACTTTAGCCAATTTACTTCTGTCAAATAAACAGTGTTGAATAAACATATTTTTTATAATTTTATATTTTTGTATTTTTTAATTAGACAGGCAATATTAAAATATTAAAATTGAAACATGAACGTTTTTCTTTTAATAAAAGTATGACTAATATATATATATATATATATATATATATATATGTATAAATTCCATTTAAAAGTCTAACAATAATTTTAACAATGAATAATTTTTATTTCCTACGTATGTATTTATTTATTACGTACTATCATTAAACAAATAAAACCCATTAACACAAGTATTTGTTATAAAGTGAGTCCATAAATAGAGCGCTAGCCACGTCCTGCTGAAATTTCCGCACATGAGAGAGGGGAGGGTGATTACGATAGAGGACGTTAACCCCGTCTTCGTCCTCTTAATTTTATGATAGCTCGTAATGGACGTGCCTCGCAAATTATTATGGGGAAAATTTCGCGCTACGCCGTAATGTCGCGAGAGAGTTTTCAAAATAATCTCAAGAGTCCCCCAAAGTCCAAGAGTATATAGCGTCTTTATGGGAGTTGGGTTTATTAGGTGCCATTTTCGCACCGCACTTGGATATGTTTACAGATATATATATGTTATTCGTTTATATGAATAGATATGTATCTTTTCTTACTATAATTCGTATGTGTAATTTTGGCAAAATGTGTTCAGAACTATTTTATGTTAAGAATATGATATACATAAGGAAAGGAAAAATTGTATTTAAATATTAAACAATTTATAAAAAATGTAAAATTAATGATAATTAGTTTTAATAATTATAGTAAAAGTTTTACATTCTCTGGAAATGCATTCTCTGGAATTGCATTTTGCAAAACTATATTGCAATATAAAAATAAATTGCAATATAAAAATAAATGTAGGAAAATGGAAAATATAATAAAATTACAAAAATATATAATAAAAAAGTACAAGTTTTTAATGTTTTTTTAATTTTATTGTAAATAAAGATTAATGCAAATATATAAAATCTAAGATTAAAGTATTAAACATAAATAATCTTTCTCTAATTTTACTTTATGTTTCTCGAACTTTTTGCAAATAAATAAATTTTATGCTCATAAATATGAAAAATAGTTGGTGATAGCATTTAAATGCACAAATAAATATTATGTGAAAATGAAAATTTTCTTTTATTAAAAGGAGATAGACAGACCTATTACTATTATATATGAACTTTATTCATGTTTCATAAATAAAGTTTAAAACGTTTAATAATGCTGAGAGCAATAACTAAAGAAAGGGAGGGAAAGGAGTACGGTTGAGCATTTACCCACTATCTCAGGGGTTGAGTGTGCGTGCACATTCACCGCGAGAGAGATCATAGGCGAGGCATGCAGGATCGTCCTCTCGTTTGACCATAACTTAGAACATTCACGGATCGGAATCCGAGCGATGCTAATTTCAACGTGGAATTCCCGCGGTATCCCCCTTCTCGATCATAGTCTCGAGGGCGGTACACCGCGAATTATATTAACCGCGACGTCGGCAACCCTCCCCCTCCTCCCCCCCTCATCCTCGTTATTCCTCGCTATCGATTTCTATTCTCAAAACTCGCAACAATTTATATATTCGAGAAAAATTATCGGCAAGTTTATATGAATAGAGTATTATTTTTCATCTAAAGAATAAAATATATGATTTTTAAATGAATGACTGGGTTTAATGGGAATTTTAATGGCTTTAATAACTTTTATTGCCTTCGCATTCTTATATTTAAAAATAATGTTTTTCAATAGACATTTAAAATCTTAATTTCTCATCCATTTTTGACATCGTCATTGTCGAATAAAATTTCTTTTATAATGTATTATTTTAGATATAAAATATATAAATTTGTCATTTAACTGTGGACAATGGAAACAAGATCGATTTACATTTGACTTTGTAATTTCATTTGTGTCGCGAAACTTCGGTCCGCAGGGACCAACGATCGCGCAGTACTTGCAAATATTTGCATCTAATGCTTTACCTAGCCCTTTCTCCCTTGCCTTCGATTGGAATAATTGTCGTGCTTTTGCATCGCCGCACTGGCTTTATAGTTTGTTCGAGAATAAGCTTCATATAATGCTGTTGTTCTAAAATAAACTTGATACTTGATTAACGAACAAACGCTAGGAAACAATAGATAATGATAAATAAATTTTTAATTTAACAGAAAGATTGACTTTATTATTACATATATCAGATATTGATTGTTTTTTTACATAAACTCATTTCAGAGTATTACATTTTTTAATTAAAAAATGTAATAATAAGATGATAATTGTATTTTTGTCAAAAAGGTTCTAGAAAGGTTGTTGAAGAACACATTGCATGTATTAAATTCTAAATTTATTTATTAAACCGTAAATGATACTAATATTTCTTATCTCTTTAACATTAATTATATCCTATCCTACCATTATCATTCTAAGTTTTTCAATTTCTCAACTATGCACAAAAGGAATTGACAAACCACATCGCATTCGTTAGTCTTGCCTTTAACTGAAACAATATGAATATATGAATATAATTATTACAATATGTACTATATTAAAAAGTATATTAATAAATAGCAAATCATAATACAATAATTAAACTATTAAGGACTGAGAAACTCAAAGTATTTTTCTTTTGATACACTACATTATAGCAATTAATTTTTAATTTTAATTTTTAATATAAAGAATTGACAGTTATAATGTAAATAAGATAATGAATTGTTTAAGTTTTTAAAAATTTATATTCTTTTTACATTTTTTAACTTAATGTTTTTCAATCAATATTTACCTCGATCAACACAGGTATCTAAAATGCGATTTTTGTTAGAAATGGTTGTTGGATCGGATGTTGGTTCTTTAGCAGCAATCAATTTCTTTATTCTTTCTACGTTGATCTGTGTATTAACCATCTGGAATTTGTATATAATGTAACAATGTATAACAATGATAAAAAAAAACGTGTACACACACACACACACACACAAACACACACACACACACGCGCGCGCGCGTGTGAAGAGCATCTAAATTAAATACAAAAAAATATTTAAATTCTTTAAAATAACAAAACGTACAAACGTGTACAACCTGACACATTAAAAACAAAATTTTTTGTGTGTTAATTTTTTTACAATAATTAAAAAAGTAATTATTTTGCATATATAAAAAAGCTACATTTGATGAATTATATTTAATACTTTTAGATCTTACCAATTCTTTTTTCTTCAACAGACATGCCAATAAACAGCTTACTTTTAAAGTTGATTTATTAATTTCTGCTGATACTTCGCCGTAGAAAAATTCGTCCATCATCATTAAATCCGCTATAAAATAAGATTTTGTCATTAATTAATTGATAAAATGTAATTAATATAACAAATAATAAATGGCGCACCGTGATTAATTTTATAAGTTAATAAACTATTAACTATTACATGTGTTAAGTGAAAATCATTATTTATATTATATATTGTAATTTGAAAAGAAACTTTTATTTTTTTAACAACTCTTGTTAAAAAAATACTTACTGAGATTTACATTTGTTTTAGTGAAACAGATCTGTACGTCAGTTTTTGACATTGATAACTCATCCGCTACTCTATCTATGATATCCTCAAGAGGTAGACCTGCTGTCTATAACGAATACACAACAGCAATTAATAGTACGAGAAAAATTTAAATGAGAAAATGAAATAATAATAATAATAAGAAACAATACTGTATATTAGATAAATTAAATTATTAATTCAATATTTAATGTGTAATGATATTCTAATCTTATTATAATGAAAATACAATTAAGAGTAAAATATAAAAAATTATAATTAAAATTCTTGAAAAGGTTAAGATTAGATTTAAGAAATTTTTATTAAAAAAGAATGAGATCATTTTATATTAAAGAGAGAAAAGGAATTATATTTATCAATTGTATATGTTGCTTTTACATAAAATTAATGGAACTTTTTCTGATATATTATAATATTCTATAATTTTGTGTATCTCCTTTTATTGATAATGATAATTTTGATGTCAATTTAATTATAATGGTACTTATATAATATGAAAATACTTACAATGGCAATACACAGGCACAAAATAAATATCGCTTGTTTCATGATTCTGAACTTTCGAGACTTCGATTATGATATTGTGCTAACTCGCTCGTTTATTTCAATACACTGTTGTCGATGCTTCAATATGCGGTATTTATATGTCATGTGTGACATATAAATTGACACTATATTACAAAGGTTATCACATAGAATACATGAATTATTGCTAATGTATGAAATTCTCAGTATTCGGAGAACGTACTGCGTTCAGAGAACATACTGCGTTCTGAACGTACTGCGTTCAGTTGTTCAGAAAACATACCGCGTTTGTAAACAGCGTTCGAAAAATCTACTGCGATTATCCGAATAAATTAGTATAATGGATACGTCAATGCTCCATGGATGTCTCAATGCTTCTAATTAATATTTACTATATTTATGTTGCCGTACTTTTGTGAAGAACATTTAGACTCTATCGGTATACACAGTAATCTTTAGACCTTTGGATCTTTAGATCTTTGAAACGTGGAGTATTATTATCTGAAATTCATATATATATACTGTTTCTTTCCGTTGTATATGTCTTATTTATGTGGAAGTATTCCTTAAAAAAATGTTTGGTTTGATTCAAAGGAAAAAACAAGATAAATATGAATAAAATTATATTCATATATAGGAATCTATTTAGATTTATATTCAATAAATAAATATAAATTCTTTTAATATTTGTGGCAATGAATATTAAAAGAATTCACAAGACAAAGTGAGATATTGCGCAAACCTGGCCAAATCCTCATTTATCCTAAATTTTTGTGCTTTAATAATTAAAACTTACAATAATTAATTAATTTTTACAAAAGAATAGCTTTACATCCTGTAAAAATTTTTTAAACTAGAAATTGGAAAATTGATAAATGGATATTGATATACATAATAATAAATTACTAAATTGAGTAAATAAATAAAAGAAATTTTTATGTATTTTTTTATCATATAAAATTTATTTAAATAATATTAATTACGGAACGCTCTAAAATATAGATCTCTAACATTTTTATTATAGACTTATATATTCTATATGTATAATCTATATGTATATTAATATGTATTTTAATTATGTATGTACAGGACATTTTAAAAATGGAGGTTAATCGTTTTTTGTCAAAAACAAGTTGATATGAGTATAAATCCGGAAATGCATTGTTTTTAAATCATTACCATGTTTAAAATGAAATTTCTTTACTTTTGAATTTTTTAATCAAAATGAAAAGAAGAGATGGTCCTTACGACTTTTATAACATAATTAAAGTCAAGTAAAAGTTATAAGCTGCTTTATCTAGGATTAATCATATGGACACTTCGCTTGGCTTCCTTTGACAAAGATGAAAAAAAATGTTAAAGAGAATACAAACTTATTTAGGTAATCTCAGTAACCCCTTCTTGGAAAATCGCGTATTCATAATAAGCAACGTTATTTCTATGTCACAAAATCCAATAAATATATTATATCAGCATATTCACTAATAGAATATACATAAGGCACAATTGTATTAGTTTATTCCACGAAAAATAATCAATGAATTGAGTTTATTTTGAATGAAAAGAAGCTTTATTTTACGGTACAAATACAAGTCTATCAATGATTTATGATTTTAAATAAAAAAAAGAACATTTCGATATTATTTTTCTCTCATTTTATAATTTTATTACTACGTCATATGACATATTTATCAGTTTTATAAAAAAAAAGCAATTTTACAAAAAAAAAAAGAAAAAAAGATCATCATGTAGGGAAGAATAAATGACCATATATAAATCTTAGATTTTTTATTAAATTTTAAATAATTTTAATTTTTTATTTTATATTTTAATATCATATTTAATATCATATGTTACTCTATTATTTTCCGACGAACTTCGGCATTTATGCACAAATAGAATAAAAGAATCACTTCACATTCATCTGTTTTGCTTTTAACTGAAAAAATATATTAGTGTAATTATAATAATATATATGGCTTATTAATGATAAAATATTAAATTGTTACGTTACAGTAATAAAACTTAATTATGTGACAGTGAAAATGTTCAAATTTATTAAGAATTTTTGAATATATTTATTATATTTATTACATTTATATTTAATTCAGTATGTTTACCTCGATCGGCACATGTATCCAATATTCGGTTGCGCATGACCACATATCTAAACATATTCTTTGAATGCATCTTGATATCCAATATTTTTTTCATCTTTTCTACATTAATATATACACCTGACATCTAGAAATTTTACACATAACAAATTAGCAATAATAAATTTAAATATAAAAAATATGTTTATATATATATATACAATAAGTAAATTGATATTAATTAGAGTGCATAAATAAAAGAAAAAGTTATTTAAATGATAATCGAATATCTAAATTTAAGATTAAATAAATTCAAAGTTAAATTTAAAATTTAATTTTTTAAAATTATGGACAAAAAAATAAACAAAAAATTAATTAAATACACTGAGACAATTGTCATCATATATTTAATAAATTATCTTTATCATTTTTTTAAATCTTACTATATCCTTTTTTTGCAACAGACAGACAAATAGGCAACCAACTTTTAAAGCGGCATCATTAATATCTTTTGTCATTATATCGTCATCTACTAGTTCATCCAGTTTCATTAAATCATCTAAAAGTAAATAATAATATAGTAATAAAATTATGAACACATAAGATTAATTTATATTGTGTTAACAAAATGGAATTAATATTCTACATCTAAAGAAAAAGTCTATTTTATCGACATCGCACATATATGAATATTCAGCTTGTAATAAATGAAATTATTAATAATAAAAAATTTAATATATTTGTAATATATTATTATGTATTATATGTAATATAATAACAATAATTAGCTATTCCTTTTTTAGAAAAAAACCTATTTAGGTTTGGTAAACTAAAAGGTAAAAAAATTAGGTAAAGTAGCGCGCGCGCGCGCCACACACACACACACACACACACGCACGCTTACATTTTTTCTTGTCAACATGTTTTCAATGTATATATGCGTGTATGGGCGAATATATACATATGTATGTGTGTGTGTGTGTATATATAAGTTATATAAACTGTAATACAGAAATCCAAGCATAGAAAGATGTAGAAAGATACTCTTATAATACTTATTTTTTCCCAAATATACTTACTAATGTTTACACTTGTCTTATTCATGCAAATTTCTACGTCTATTTTCGACATTGATAATAACTCTGCTAGTCTGTTCGTGACATCATCGGTAAAGCCTAATATCTATAATATATAGAATCACGTTTAACAGTATATAAGATTTAAATAATAAATCGATTTATGGTATTGTTAACAAATACATAAGATAGTACAATAATATATTTGATTATCAACAATGATATATGATTAAAATAATAATATTTTATAAATCTTACTATAATAAATGTAAAACTATGAAAAATTCAATTTCTAAAAATATCGAAATTTTATAAAAGTTAAAATAAAAATTCAAAAAATCAAAACTGAAGAAGATTAATAGAAGATAAAAAAAATCTATCATATAAGAAAGAATTTGTTCTAATAAAACAATTATTTCTATTATATTTATTTTTATACTATATCATGTTTTATAATATTAAATACATATATAATATTAATAATGTAAAATTTATCTGTTCTCTTGACATCAGTACTATAATGATATTTACACAATTTCTTTTATATATATTATATATTGAAGAAATACTTACAATAATAGTAAACAGACTAAGGATAAATATCACTTGTTTCATAATTTCGAAATTTCCTATACGTGTTTCTTATACATCTTGCGATGATAGACAACTGTTGACGATGTCAGTCCGTTTGTCCAGCAATATACTACTACTTGATATCTCGATATATAATATTTATGTATCATATTTATGTATCATGATGAGGTTTACAAAGGTTATCATGTAGAATATTTGCGCAAACTGACTAAAGTCTTGTGTCCACGAAATCGGTCCGAGATCTCGGATGGAAAGAGAATTAACCAATTGCGTTTGAATAATTGGCCAATTAATCAATGTGATTGGTCATTTCTCATTTGAGATCTCGGATCGATTTCTAGCATCGTGGACACAAGGCTTAATAAAGAAATCTTTTCAGTACTCACTAAGCACTGATGTGCAGTGCTTGCGTTTTTCGCGAAAAACTTGTTATAACTATTAGAATAATAATAACTAATTAATATAATATATATATTAATATATGTATTAATGTCGGTTTTTTATTTAATATATATATATATTATTTTTTTTTTTTCTATTACTTCAATGAAGATAAATGTGGATTCTATTGATATATATAGTTATTTCTAAAATACATACAATCGTTTTTAAAACATGAAATATTTCTTAAATTTTTTAAATTTATTTGTGAATGTTATTGCTTCTATTGCTTATTTTGTACAAATTATATTATATATAAGCATCGTTTAATTAATTAAAAAGAATTAATACTAATACTAATACGAATACTAATAAAAAGATAATTGTAAATTTAATTGACACATTTAAATCAAGTCTTTCCAGATGCACGTGAGAAGATCAAAGGATTTTTCGCACATATCTGTTTTTGTCTTAACTGAAATAACAATATAATAATTATCATTTACATTTTTATTTATTTTTGTACATTTTATAACTATATTATCACATTTTATCATTTCTTGTATAACATACTTGTATACATATGTAAATGCTTACCTTGTTCAATACAACGGTTTATGGTAGAGTACATTTTTTGTTGCATATCGGGACTGAAAAGAGCACTTGCCAATTTGCCATACAATTTATTCTTTTGAATTTCCGAATCAACAATCTAAATTGCAAAACGAATTAGTTATAAAATTTGTAATCTATGCATATTTTAAATAATATTTTAGATGTAAGAAGAGTTCTTATATATAAGAATTCTTGAATTTAATTTAGTTAGTAGTTAGTAGTTAGTAGTAATATTGTAGTACTATTACTAATTTTAAATTTAATATTTGTAATTATTCATACATATATATA